TTATGTCTCACCCTATTTCCTAACTTAGGTCAAAATGATTTCTCAGTAAAAAAGCCCCACTTCGAAATACTCCTTTAGATATATTTAATACTCTGTCAGACACTGTATTTCTTTAAGCATACATTGTATGCATGCAGGAAAAAAAATAAAAACTACAAGAATTTTCTTTCTTTCAATTAACTGAATTCTCATTCAAATAACTTAAAAGTCTCAAAAGTTTGTGCACAGAAGGCAGAACAGGCAAAGTTAAGATCCTGAAGGGAGGACTTACAAGAGCAGAACTGTAGAGGTTTGGGTTGTACACTCAAGTGTTTCAATGTACTAAATGGAGAGAAAATCATTCTGCAGTCAGTGTCTGACACGAGGGGGAGTGAAAAATAAGATGGGAATTGTGCCTGTGAATACCTTTAATAAAAGTTTATTGGTATGATCTGTTCAATACAATTGTTTCAAAATCCACACTGCACTACAAACACGTCAGACTTTTCCCTATCTGAGGTCTAATCTGTGATTCCCAAGAATTTTTTTTTTTTCATTTTTCTAGCTTTGCTATCTGCAGAGACTCCATAATTTAATTTCTGTGTTTATTAAAACAATACAAGGAAGTGATTAATTTCAGGTTTTTTGGGCATTTTTGCTGTTGTTCTTTTTCTTTCTCAGCGTGTATGTAAATGCAAAGCAAGGTGTCTAGATAAGTGGCTAAGGTGTTTTAAAAGGATGACAATCAGAATGTGATTGAGAAGGATAAGGTGTTGTTTTATATGAGGCAACAATCTCAACATCCATTTTTCTGGTATGTTTTTATTCTAGTCTCAGTGGGGCATCTGTCCTAAATCCCTTTCTCATGGGTTTACAACTTGGATTGAAAACAGACCTTTTTTTCCCCAAATGTTGGTTAAAACTTTCCCAGCATCACAGCAAGTAAACTTAAAAGGGGCCAACTGATAATATCCTCTCAATAGAGGCAGGCAGGTGAATATGGCACACTGTAATCCAAACAGTTGTATTAATACAGTTTTTCCAAGTCTTAGTCCTCTTGCTGAAGGCATATTACAGTAAAGCTCTGAGGCATGTGCTTAGCTTAAGCATATGGCCAGTGATTATTTTTCTGGGCTCACTTAAGTACTGTCCAACCTATATTTTATTTCTGAGGGGTGGAAGATGCTCGAAATTTGTACTGATTAGACAGAGCTCTTGTAAAAATGTGCAGCTCCCACAGTGCTCATCCTGGCAGTCCAAGAGGACTGGGAGTTTTGTGCTGACCCTGTCTTTTCCACACAGGGGAAAACATTGCTTTTCCCTGGTTGCAGTGCTGGGGATTTCATGGCAAGAAGAGCCTCGCAGGCTATGTGTGTATTAGCAGACCTGAGATAGCTTCCCAATTCCCAAGACTGTTCTCACAGCCTGTCTATATATTGCTGTATGTACTCACATACTCACTGTATCTCCCAGAGAGAGCTAAGCCTTATCCCAAGCAGAAATCAGTCTGGACTAGACAAGCTAGAAGACATGGGATCTGAAAAGGCAAATTTGCATGCAGCAGATTTCTTCTCTATTGGCATTTTACAGTTTTTTTCTCAAAAATTGATGATTGTGTACACTTGTTCTGTAGAGATACTAAACCTGCATGGGTTGCATTTAAAGGAAATCTCCCAAACCTGACAAACTATGTATCTAGTTTCTGTAGTTCCCAATGGAAAAGGCTGTTCTTGAAGACAGGTGGTGTTTTCCACCTTTACATCTATTCCATGTAAAGGAATAATGTAATCATTAGTGGAAAGGAATGAGAAAAAAAAATAGCAAAAATGCCAACAGCAACCTAGACTGGATCATCAGATTTTTATACATGTATCTTTTATGTCTAATGAGATCCATATTTTCCCATCCTGTCACTGATCTCTGTACCTCCCTGCACATTCAGACAATGGATCAGGTCAGCATATCAGCCTACAGTGGGGTGAGAGCCCATCACCCAGGCACTCCCAGGGTGTCTGCAGCTGCCAGGCAGGACCCCCAAGCTCACTCCTGAACCCTGGTCTCCCACAGAAGCACAAGGTTTGCTGCCAGCAGGCTGCAAGGCCAGCAGTAGTCAGATTTTTCATTTAAATTTTGGCACCATCTGAAGTCATTTCTGTTACTTCCAAGGACTGTTGCCATTGTATTAAAAAGAGTAAATTTGCTGCTGAGTTACTTACTGCCCAGAAAATCCAGCTGAAACCTGCTACTGCCAAATCTGAGGATTCGATATTGGGCCAGGGACTTTAAATAGCTTCTGCTACTGAGGATTTTCTGCTGTCTATGCAGTCTAAAAAAAAATCCTTTAAAAAAAAAGGACTGATAAAACCTCAGTTTGAGGGATTGGACATGGACTGTTAGAAACTGAAAATTGCCACTTCTGTTGTGGTTACTACCTATCCAGGTTTTTTGACTGAATCATCTGGGGTTTTTTTAAGTCTAGGTTTGATTGCCCAGGGTCCAGGATAAAGAGCACAAAAACAAACAAAACCCCTAATGCTGATTTCTTAAACGAAGCTGAGGAAAAGCCCTGTTTATGCAGGTTGGCTGCCTTTTGTATACCCCACAACTATTGAGGGTACTCATCGTCACTGTCCTTACTCTACTCCTGCATCTAAATATCGCCTTTAATTGCAATATGAAGTCTTTTAACTACAGTTAACAGTTAACAGTTTTAACTCACAGTTAACTACAGTCCAATTCTTGCATGCTACATTTCCTGAAGGACAGCTCAAGTTGCCAAAAGAAAACCTGCCACTATCTCTCTCTCTCTTATCTTTCTTCCATGTTTGTCCTATACACCTAGGTAAAGAGATAGAGAAGGAGGTACCCAAGGTGAAAGGTAGCTTTTATTTTTCCAGGGTTTTTTCTTTTATTCTTTTTTTAATCTCATCTGCCATGTAGATAGGCGCAGTGACTGCAACAGTGCACTGGAATCTGTGAGGCAGCCAGGAAACCTCTCGCTGTGATCAGGCTCAAACACTGAGGATGCACTGGCAGACACTCAATGTGAATTCTCCTGCTCGCTACAGTCTGTGAATTTATGATGCACTCTGCTGTGTAGCTATAACCTTAGCAACAGCAGCCACTGTACAATGAACAGGAGATAGTTGCTGCTGACTGTTGGAAGGAGCCCTCCCTTATGGGCAATTTGTGCAGAAAATGACAGGAATTATAATGATTTCATCTGAAACCATAGCAAAGACTGCAGTATTTTCTCATCAAACTCAGTAATTCTAGAAATGGAATGAACTGGCAAATCAAGTGCTGCCCAGATTTATAATCAGATGCTGCTTGGAAACTTTTCTCTTCTCTTCTCTTCTCTTCTCTTCTCTTCTCTTCTCTTCTCTTCTCTTCTCTTCTCTTCTCTTCTCTTCTCTTCTCTTCTCTTCTCTTCTCT